GGGGGCCCTTCATGGATTCTTGCACCGGGGCCCTGAGGTCACTAGTTACGCCATTGATGCTAAAGGAGGACTATGGAATTCTTCTGGTCTGAAATTGCTGTATCCCTTTTATTACTGCACTGACTGTTAAATTGACACTTGTGCAAGATTGGTCAAAAGCGGGCAGATTTTGTAGGCAGCTAGTAGTAGTCTTATCTAAAAAGATCTAGAAAGATCGCTGTGAACTGACGCCAACTGCAACAAATGTTCCCAACCTGATTTGACATTGCAAATGACTAAACATCAGCTAAAATATACTTAAAGGAGAACTATTGGGAGAGTAAAATGTACACTTCCCAATACTTAGAGCCAGTGTGTGATATGCCAGCTCTATAGATTGAGAGCTGAGTGATCACAAACCACTGTTTGCTCAGCTCATGGCCTTGTCCCTGCAGGGAGCAGTGAATGTCAGCTATACCAAAAGGTCCATCCTAGCATATCACTTATGATTATGATTTGGCCAGTGTTTGATGCACAGTGGTGGAATTTAATAATTCTATGGTTTACTAAGCAATTTATAATTTACCTCTTTAGAAAACCGTTCAGCTGTCTCTATTACAGAAGAGTTTGGTTCATATCCCTAGAAAATATATATGGAAGGAACAGAGTTTATTAGTAGTCTTCTTATATTTGACAGGAATTTGTCAGAAATAGACAAAGCACAGTGTCCCTCCAGTTACAGATCTACTGGATGACTAGTTGAAGCTTTTACACCACATCTATAATAAATGAACATGCCAATGGAAACAATGACAGAAAAAAATATGTAGTTTATCGTTTTGTATATATTATTTATAACCTAACTTTTACTTTTAGAGCTGTACAGGTTCTTGAAGTTTACGCTAAATTTAATGAGGTTGTTTAATAAGGAAACACATATTTTGTAAGATTGCTGTCTCATGTCTTTGGGTAACGCAATGGCATACTACGACTGTTCAAACACGTTCCAAACTTTAATGCATTGCCTATTTTTTTTACACAATCAGCTGTTTTCCCAAAACTTGGCATTGTGGTTATGTTTTGTAGCTAATGCACACTCTGCTTGGTGGAATTCACTGTTTTCTGTATCTACAGAATGATTGCCTAACATATGTTAGCCAGCATTTTGCAACAAGCAAAATTGAAAGTCCAATTGAACTTATAATTTAAAACTACTCAACAATTCAAGTTTGTCTCAAATGAAAGCTGACCAAGCTTTAGGCCTCACCCTCATGTGACGTCTGACATCACAATTCACTCTAAAATCTAAAAAATTCCCCCTCAGTTTCTGTCCAGTGGCACAAGAACGGTGGACAAAACCTCTGAAGAGCATCCACATTTATATTCTTCTGTTTTGTTTACTATTTGCCATTGAAGCTGATGACATAGTAGCATTATGGCAACATGTTCTAAAGTAAGGCTTGTTTTATTTTTCAATGGGTATGCGCTAGATTTACTAGTGATATCAGCAATGGGCATCTGCTACTATACAGGAATTGTAAGACCAGAAGATGATGCTTACTTTGGCCAAAGAGGAGTTGTGTGGTCTGAAGGTATCTACCTAGTGAGCATACATATTCTTTGTTTCTGCCTGGTCTTTGGAAATAGAACTGTGGAATTTTTGGCTTTCATGCCTGTGGATAGAAAATTTAGTTCCACTTTTAGCTGAAAAGTAAATTTTCTTTAAAACTTAGCCACAGCCTGTGTAGAAATGCCTGTCCCCTGCCAGCAGCTGCTGGGTGTGCACTCCAATCAGCAGGGAGCATAAGCTTTTTTGAGCTATAGGTCTATCTGACTCAGTAGGGGACGTGTATTACCTTTGCAATGAAATCACTGCTTCCCCACAGAGAGCAAGGGTCCCTCTCTGCTGCTGCTGCCAATGGACAGGCATTTTTACTCCGTAGAAGGAAAACAAACAGCAAGGCATGCACACCTTTTGTTTTTATGCACCTGGAATGGGTTTTGCAGGTTTAATTGAGCCCTGAACGTTTTCAGAGTACAAACCTGCTCCTTTACATCTCCCCTAGTTTCCATTGTCACCAACTTTACAAGAACTGTTTCATGGCCAGCAGACCCACTAAACATAGATTTTGTGGGTTTCATTTAAGAAGCTATATTACTAAAGGTGATTAAGCTACATTCATTTTCCACAGCTCAATTACCGTTTTGTATTCTGATAACTGCATGTGTTAACTACCCGGAAATGATAGAATTCAGTATATGTTTTCAATTTTAAATTTTACATTCCTTTATTTATATTTTCTCTACAGTTTAATTCAGGTCCAAATTGTCCATCAAATGTGGGGCAACCTACAACACTGATAGGGGTGCTTAAAACACTCACCTTTTATTTCCAGAGTTTAAATTTCTTTGCATAGAAACTGCTGATCCAAATCAGTCCTAACTGATCCTTTTGTTGTAAAGCACTTAGGCTGTAGGTGGGCTTTACAAAGAAAGTGATTTCTACCTTGTTTACTGTCATCATGTCTGACATGTGACAAATTAACACAGAAGTAAACTTCTAGTAAAATCTATCTTGGCTCTAGAATAGACCATAGTCTCAGGGATATGGAGCATGAAAATGTTTATTCTGTATTGTAATAAATGTCACCATGGCACAGGAAAAGAAAACACAGTGATAAACAACATGTTTTGTCACACTGTTTACTACTCCTAATGCTGTATAAAACAATTATGTTAAATAATATAAATGGCTAAACAAGTAAAACAAATAACACGGTAGCACAAAAAAATATGTAAAAAAATATATAAAATGTACATATAAACAAAAGTTGAGGATCTCTTGGCGGGTTCCTAAAACCAGAAAATCAAAGAATTACTTATCTTAATTAGTAATGACACGCTCACAGACATTCTCAATCATTTTGGCTGGTAAAAATTGTACTTGTTTACAATGTAATAAGAAAAAGATGATAAGGCCAGTCTTTTCCCAGAGATTATAGAAACTTTACCTTCTCCAGTCAATGTGAGAAATAGTAACTGCACAGTGTGGTTGCCAAAATTATCACAGAGTATAATGCTATGGTCTAATGTGCCATACTACAGAAAAGTTATCATATGGAAATCCTTTATTCTAAAGCATTTTGGATGAAACCTTTCTTAAAGTGTTCCATTTTGTTAAGGAACATAGACAGCAATACAACCCTTATAATTATTCTTACCTTTCCCTACACAAGTTCAAAGTTAAGTATACATATTACATGCTGTTTGGTATAATGGTATACATCCTCTTCTCCTAAAATTGGAATCAAAATATTATAACTGTGTATGAAAAATCCGAGTTATTATGCCTTTATACAATGCAAGCTCAATTTCAGGAAGTACATACATGTAGTTGATTGTTTATAGTGCTAGGCAATAAGGCATATCTGTATAATTACCTTTGGTGTTGCAATTTGTAAGTGCATTCCAAATTTTGCGGCACTCATCATGAAGGAGTGCAGGATATTGTTTCCATCACCAATCCAGGATATGGTCAACCCCTTCAGGTGACCATAGTATTCCTTGGAATAAGATCAATAATGTGAGCAGGAAGGATAACAATAGAAACTTCTATAATAGTATAATTAATCTTACAGGACAGATGCCGTGCTGTAGGCACATATTTTTTGGTTCCCTAATTAAAACGTATCTTCCAGGGTCTTCTCTCTTATAAAGAACATTTCCTGGTTTTCCTGATCCTGATCGGGGTTAGAATTCTGGGAAAACAATCAAATAAGCCTAAAAGAGATGACTATTTCTACTAATGATCGGTAGAAAAGCTGTGCCTATTAATTACACAGAGAAAAGCCGCCTCATTTCCTCTGCCACTTATGGGTCCATACCTGCTATGCCTAACTGTGAATCCAGCCCTGACAATATGTATTCGTTATTGTCTGAGAGCTCTGAAAAAGAAGTCTGAACAAAACATTTTTATAACTTTCAGTACCAAAGTTGTTTAAATCTCTAAACATAGCCTATTAAAGATAATTTCCATCCAACAAGCTAAATCAACTTTTAAATTACTAATATGAACCAGGAAAAATTGAGTTTGTCACTGCTGACCTTTTTCTGAAAATACAAATCATCATGCTAATTAAATGGCTTCAATACTTTGACTCACTGACCCTGAATATATAAAAAATTTCAATAAAGGCAATCTTTCTAAGCTGGTAGAACCATGCCATTACACAATTGCACACTTACACAGCCTGGTCTGAAAATACAGTTTTTACACATGTGATGCTGCATAACAACCAACATGTGATGCTCCCATAACCACATGCAAGAAAGAATGCTGATTAAAAGATGATGATAAATCCTAGATATTGTTTATTATTTAATGTACAAAACTATATTGTGCATGCTAGTAAATATGTTTTTATAGCATTGTTATGTTTGAGTTATGGAGCATTTCAGAGTTATTACTGTATTTATGTGTAAGTGTGCAGCTGTAAATACAAAAACATGTAAATACTAAGCTTTTATATACTGCATTATTTGTGTTTAATTTTGTTCTTTTTTTGAGTATTCTCTAGTGCACAGCACACTTGGTTTATCCATCACTTTTGTACTGCAAAGACTAATGTTCATGTCTGAGAATTTGTTAAATTAGTATACAGTATTGCACAATAATGTTGCCATTTCACAGTTGTTTTTTTTAAGTACAGACAAAAAATGTCTGCAGTATACTGGCAGTGGCCAGTACAGAATGTTTCGATGGGTTGAACTGTTGTTGGGCACTTTGGAAATCTTACTAACTTAAAAAGTTAACTTTAAGATGAAAGCACCTTAACAATGATCTGGCTGATTGCAGCTTGATTGGATAAAGATCAGACACCAAGAGTTTGGAAACCTCCTGATTTTAGTAGTCACCCTGTCCTTTTGATCTTGTACGTAAAGGAAAGGGGAAGGAAAAGAGGTCTCTGTTGGCTGGGTTGGATTTTCCTGCCCAACATTATCGTTCTGAAATAACAGTAGTGCCAGGGGAAGCACATAAATATGCATTCGCCCTTTCGTTACTCAGTCATTGATACCTTAAGTTTAGTATCCTACACTGTCATATTATTGTATCAAACTATTAAACTCAAAGAATGCAGTGAGTGAGCATCTAAAGTGTATAGGAATCTTCAGCCTACAATCAAATAACCTATCCATACATAATCTCATTGGAGCAAACTCAATAATATGGTCATAAAATGACATAAGTCCCGCTTCTTTCAAATAGATAAGAGGTAGCAGAGGATAATAGAGCATATAAGGTTTTTGGGACCCTGATAAATCTTATGAAATGTAACAATAATTGCATCTATTATTATATCTCCTAATAAAGGTAAACAAATCTTTTTTACTGATGTTACCATTTCAAACCCTTCAGTGAGAAATTTGGCATTAACTTTCATTTCCAATTTATTTGCATGTCTGGAGAGTATGGCTGACATGGGGTTATGTACAGAGGTCAGTGGTCAGCAGTGTTTAAAGGAGAATTATGGGGAGAGTGAAATGCTCTCATCCCCATAATTAGAGCTGACATGTGACACTGCAGCTGTCACATGTTGGCTCTATTGATTGAGAACTAAGCGATCACATACCACCGATCCCTCAGTTCCCGATTTTCTCCCTGCAAAGAGTCACTGACAGTCACTGCTCCCCGCAGGGTTTCCCCCCTTCCCTTCTCCATTTCTCCAGTGCTCACTGGAGGGACAGGTGGGAGAGGGGGCAGGCACAGCTGGCTTTGCCTCTGTGACTATCAATCAGGCAGCACGGTGTATCTTGAAAATTTAGTTGGATCTTTTCAGGCCGCAGCGTGGCTCTGTGCCCCCAGCATATAGTGGGCAATAGCCTGCTATATGGTGAGTTTTGGGTCACAGGAGGACATAGTAAAAAGAACTATGGCAAAAAAAGGTTGGCTCATAGTTTCCTTTTAACTTTCTGAGTGCAGGGGTCATAACTGTGTAACATACAGGGTGCAGGGGTCAGGGATATGTAAGGGGTCACAAGTGTGTAACATACAGAGTGCAGGCGTCAGACATTAGGATTATGTAATGTACTGAGTGCAGAGGTTAGAAGTGTGTAATGTACTGAGTGCAAGGGTAAGGAACATGTTATGTACAGAATGCAGAGATCATGCTTATGTAATGTACAGAGTTTAGGGATCAAGAGTGTGTTATGTACAAAGTGCAGGTATAAGAAGTGTGTAACATACAGAGTGCAGGGGCTAGAAATGTGCTCCATACAAAGTGTAGGGGTAAGGCGTTTGTAATGCACAGAGTGCAAAGGTCAAGATTGTGTACTATAAGAGGTGCAATGGTCAGAAATGTGTAGCGTACAGAGTGCAGGGGTCAGTTATATCTAATGTACATAGTGCAAGGGTCAGGAGTATATACACCCTAGTTCTCAGAATACTGACACACCCACATACATACATACATACATACATACATACATACATACACACACTCATCACAACATATACACACCCACACACTCACATACATACATGCAGGCATGGCTGACTGTCCCTCCAGCCTTCTCAGTTCCCTGCCCTCAATTCCACCAGTGGAAAAGCGTGGAGACAGTGGTCCAAAAAAGGAGTGGCATGATAAGCAATGCCCTGTTTAAAGCCACTCTCCTTATGTGTGTAAGAACAATGGCTAACTGGAAGCAGCATGTTGGGCAGCCACTGTACCAGTGATTATGGGTGGCAACAGCATTGACACCTGGGGCAGCAGGAAAGAGATGTGGGGCATGTGCCTTGGGTGCCCAATGCTAGCAACTCCCATGATGGCAAGGTCACGATCTACCCATCAAGTGCGTTGGTTGTGTGTTTACATGAAGCACTGAGATCTTGAGGAATGCTGAATTAAGTTTTACTTGCATAGAAGAACATTACACATGTGTAAACAGCATTATGCAGAAAACAGAGAGACAGAAACTTCCTGTGTATCATAGATAAGCATGCACATAGAGACTAGCATTGCACAACAGCGCCATCTACAGCTCAAAAGACATATCAGTACATTAGTATATCAGTATATGCTGTTGTATTTTTAACAAAGTGGTGGCAGTCAATGGGTAAATCACAATTGACCTGTTGCTGACCCCCACTTTAAAGCAACCCTTTCCTTTGCCAAACCTACAGAAATTGCTGCCAAATAAGAACTATTTCACAAATAAACACCTTGTTTACAATCCACTTACCAAACATTCTGCTTAAATCTTCCCCCTCTGATCCAATTATAACCCGAGTGGGCGATGCAACCTTGTCCATTGCAGAACGCAGCATAGAGAGGGTAAGACCAGCTGAGCAATTACATCCAATACATAAAAGACATCTCTGCCATTCATGTGGCTGTCATGTGTCACTGCCCTTTGCATACATCAGCAGCCAGGGGCAGTGTTTAGATATGGATATGTGGACTTTGTTGTTGACTTTTGACAAAAAGTCAACGTCTGCATATCAGTAACTGGGCTATTTAGACTGCTTTGGGTGCATCATTCAGGCAAATAATATGTAAATGTGAAACAGCTGATGAAGCAGATTTTGATGGTATCACCGATTTTTAGATGTTTCAGAAATGGAAAGATTCACTTTAAAAAGAGAATCTTTGTACCGTAATTTGTGCACTGGACTGAATTACACGGCAGTCATACAAACCTAATTCAATTAATGTAGGATCCTTTCTAATTTATACAACGCACAAATGACATGCAACTGAAATGAACATTGCTATCTGGGATAGGACAGAGGGTGCAGGAATTGATGTGCTTGCAGAGGATATTAGTCACAGTATAGAATTGCTTAGCAACACAGAGCTGCAAGCTAACTCCCACTGAGAGAAAGTCTGATTTTAATGCAGACCACGCCATATGCACTGGCTCTGCTAAGGAATTCCCAGGCGTCTGTGTTTTAAAGAGATGTTTTAAAGGAACAAGGATGAAAAATACAGGTGCTGTCATTGCTACTTACCTGGATTGTAAGGTAATCCGCCAAGATCTGAATAGGATGATAGTCATCAGACAGTCCACTCACTATCGGAATGGATGCTTCTTTAGCCAAAACCTCCAAGTCAGATTGGCGATAAACACGAGCTAGGACAGCATCTGTCATCCCAGACAGCACCCTGACAGAAATATGAGACAATAAATGTGGTGCTAAAACGAGTTATGATGCTTCATATGCTAATGTGAAGTGATATACCACAGATTATATCCCACAGCTTCTATTTTGAAGTTTACTATTAAAGTATATCTAAAGCCAAAACATTTTTGTCCATATTGGATAGAGCAGAAAATGGTTAAGCCTGTTTCTGTCCATCTGTGTCTCATTCAAGAGAATTACCTATACTTCCTGCCCTGTAGACACAACAGGAACTGAGGACATATCTCTCCAAATCTCCTCTTAGACAGTTGTCACCTGAACAAATATCCCAATATTCCAGTGCTGGTGGCAACTCACATTTTACATTCCCCCACACTTTTTAGCCCAATGATATTGGTCATCTAGTGAGAGTGAATCTCCCTGGTCACAGGCAGCAATACAGATTGGGTGTTCTAATCCATGCACACTCTATCCAAAACTAAAAACCCTTTGCCTTTAGATATACCTTATGAAGGAACACTATAAGATTAGATAGCAGTAATATATAACTTTGGTCTATCATGGGACACCACAAAACTACTATTAAAGCTGAACTCCAGGCAGATACTATTTCATGCAGTTGTGTAATTCTTTAAAAATAGGGTAATGTATCAGTGCATACAACTAGCATAACTACCTGATTCTGTCTTTATCTTAGCCTCTTGAAATTCCCTATACAGCAACCCTTACACTTGTAAGGGGTAGTACGAGTAACCAGTCAGGCTCTGCTACATGCACATGTGCTGACAAGGAACATACTAACAGGGGGAAAGTGCAAAGTGAGCAGTGCTGATGTTCTTTCATTGTCAAATAGGCTGGCGGAGGGGAAAAAGTCTAGTTATTTTTTGTTACTTTAGAGACAGAGAAGGGGCTCAGCTATACCATGTCTGTTGAGCTGCGTTGACCAACATTACTCAAAACAAGGAAAAAACTATTGTTTTGTAGGTGCCCTGTTCACACCATAGAAGTGCACTGGTATGTGCATGTCTGCATTTTTACGTAACACACAAAAACACATGTCGGCACAGAATGTTGACCCTTGTTGTGCCCTGTACAGAAAAATGCGTTAAAAAATGCAGTCAAACACACAGTAAAATGCAACACAAAGCACTAAAATATGCTTGTCAAAGCAAGTCAACATGCATGCATCTCCTGTATTTTTTGTGTTTTGTGGTGTGAACTAGCCCAAAGATGTTGTGCTCCTGATGTTGTGTGAATCACAAAGTGGCTGGACAGAATTACAAATCCCTTGGCACATAAGGCAGTTCACATACGTGTATTTGGCTGCTTGCCTGGAGTTCGAATTTAGGACTGCAAAATTGAATTGTGATGTACAATTACTGTTGTATATACTTTGGGTGAGAAATACGAGCTGTAATATTCTAAATTAAATGTTGCCACGTCGATAGGGAATAAGTTGTGTATTAGTGTTGATGCATAATTTTCAGAAACACAGTGATTAAGCTGTGTAATGGAAAATTCGCTGTTTATGTGTTCATTAATACCCAAAAATCTTAATTCATGTCTGAGTTATTACAACGTCATACCCTTGCAAAGAGAGGATCACAGAAATAAACATGGAGCTGGCAGAAAAGGTTTGCGAACTTTGAAGTTACTAGGATTTCTGCATGAATGGTTCTTAAAATTGGTTTTGATCTTCAACTTAGTGGGAATGTTAGAAAAACATGATCACATTAAATGAAAGTGTATGTGTAGCCATTTTTTTGATAGCGCAGTGAAGGGTTGAAACACCTATCAGTTTATTTTTTGTTGTCTGTTATATTGGGAAGATTTTGATCACAAAAAAGGAACTGTTTTGAGAGAATTTTTTTTATAAAGAGAAGGAAATTTCTTCTCCTAGACAGTTGTCACTGATGCACATGTTCCCAATATAAGATTTCCCCTGATATTTTGTTCCGGAGACAATGTTAGGTGAACATGTCTCTAGGAAATGTTAGGTTTTCCATCACTTTCTATTTTAAGAACAATGGTCAATGGGACAAATAGAGGGGTTGACTGTACCTACCTGGGACACAGACAGCAATAAAAAAAACTGACAGCAGTTCTAATTCTTCCCTATGGTATCCAAAACAGGAAAAAACGCCTATAATTACACTTTAATAACAAATAATCATTGTACTTTTTCATATCTTTAACATTTTGAGGACACTCTTTAAACATTGACAATGCTGGCTGGAAAAAGTATGTGATAACTTATATTTATTAACATTTAATATATCTTAACAGCTATAGCCTCCACTGAAACATTTTGATATTTCTGGGATTATTTGCATTAACAACTTTAGATTATGCCACAACATATCATTTGGGCTGAGGTCAGAACTCAGACGTAACCATTTTAGATACAATTTACTTCTATTTAGGGCTTGTTCATACCATCTCCAGACCAGATCCAGACTAAAACATTTTTTTATCTGGACCAAAAACATAGTAATTTCAATGGTAAAACTTAGGCTAGTTTACACCATTGCGTTCAGTACCAGAGCTTTTTAAATCGTACAGCATGCTACATTTGATCTGGTCTGGAACGCTTAAAACCACACGTAAACACATGTAAATGCATGCAAGCAAACCAGAACGCACTTGAATGCGCCTAAAACCCAAGCAAAACCAACTGAGACAAAAAAGCATTTAAATGCTTTAAAAATGTGTCACAAATGCGCATGACCGTGTTTGCAGAAACGCATTTATATATGGTCTGGTGTGAACAAGGCCTTAGACTGTTTTGTTTTGTTGATTTATCATTGTACGTCGCACGCTTGCCATGATCTTGCAGGATGCCATCTCCTAAACAGAATAGCAATAGCACTGAATATCTTTTACAGACAGTTTGTCTTATTATGGGTTGATGAACACCCTGGCCTAGCAGCCTTTCCAGTTTTATACATCTCTCTAATTCTTCTAATGTTTTCTAAAATCTAATTTAACTATACAGATAACAGAACTTTCCCAAGAAAACCAAACCGACAGTTACCAAAATTTATGTGCCTCTTTATAAATAGGACACCTCACCTCATTGTTATTATTGTCCTCTTTTCAAGATGTCATTATCCTAGACATTCACATACTTTTTCCATCAAGGTATTTGATTGTGTAAACCATTTGTTCAGTAAAGATATGACAATGTAGAATGATAGCTGTGTTGCTTGTATTCAATTATGAAATATAATTCAATTATAAAATAAAATTATACTATTATTATGAGTTAGATGGAGATCAGACACCGTTTTAGAAGACATCTATGCATATATAGAGCGGTCCACAAAAACAAAGCGTTGGCCACTGCAGAACACAATAACTAAAAAATAATGTTAAAAAATGCAACAGTTAAAGCAATCTTAAAAGACTAGATACAAATATACAAAATTAGAGGCAAAATTAGATCGACAGCAGGAGTAGCAAGGTAAAGTCTACACGTACGCAACAACAATTGGTATATATTCTTCTAGTGGTCTCCTTTAAATGTAATTTAAATCTGCCTACTCTTTCAGCAGGTGTACTATAGACACAGTTGTTCCATAGTCCAAACTTTGGCTGTGTAGGGAAATCCACACAGTTCTCATTGGGAAATTGTTGAGTCTCTTTGCTTCCTCTCTGTTAGTGGGACAGGAAGTTAGGGTAAGGGTAGAGTAGAGAAGTGTTAATTTCTATTTATTTTTTTTCTGGAATCCCAATTGCAAAATTCCCTCTCAATCCCTGTTTTGGTGACACTCTGTAAAAGGAAAGTCCCCAAAAGGAACACAGAGAGAATGAAAGAAAATATATAGTCCAGAATAACCAGATTTCTGCTCTAAATTTCCCACTTACATAAGGAAAATCTGTAAAAATTAGTCAAGGCAACTGGACTTGCTGTTTTTTTCGTGAAGACGTTTCACTGGTCATCCAACCAGCTTTCTCAATTCAGAATGACTTGTACAAGAATTCTCTGGGAATAAATATGGTCACTTTTGCTCCAATCCACATAATCTGTTAGTCGCAACCAGGTGTTGATTGCATTTCCATAATTGGAGCTAGGAGGTGTCCCCCCCCCCACCTCTATTCAAGCTTGGCTTCTCCATTTTTTTATAACTTTCACACCTCTTTTAAACCATTCCTCCCCTGTCTCGGATGCCTACTTGGCTGTCTTCAAAAGAAGTGACCTTTTTTCTTTAGGTGTAGGTACACTGCCGAATCCTGACCAGAGGCTTTGGCTCTTCTATGCTGTGCCATACACTGGTGTAGCTGCTGTTTTGTTTCACTGACATACAATTCTGAGCACTCCTCACTGCACTGGACTGCATACACAATGTTGTTCATCTTGTGTTTTGGCGTTGGGTCTTTTGGGTGAACCAGTTGTTGCCTCAGCGTATTGCTGGGTTTAAAGCAGACAGGGATGTGATGTTTTTTAAAAAACCCTTCTGTGTTTCTCAGACACCCCAGCTACATATGGGATGACCAAATTCTTCAGTTTGTCATGCTTTTCACCCTCACTGGTACTATTGGTATTCTTTCCTCTTCTTTCTGTTTTGACAAAAGCCCAGTCTGGATACCCGCAATTTTTAAGGGCCCCCCTGAGGTGTTTGAATTCCTTTATCTTGGCCTCTGTTCTGGTGGGAATTTTCTCTGCCCGGTGGTGTAGAGTCGTGATGACTACAAGTTTGTGGTTTAGAGGGTGGTGGGAGTCAAATAGCAGGTACTGGTCCATGTTGGTTTCTGGTAGTTCATACCATCTACGGTTTTAGAGAATTCTTGTACAAGTCATTCTGATTTGAGAAAGCTGGTTGGACGACCAGTGAAACGTCTTCACGAAAAATACAGCAAGTCCAGTTGCCTTGACTTCTTTTTTACAGATGTACCATGACCTGGATGAATGAGAACCTTTACAGACATACATAAGGAAAAGTTTGTAAACTGACTAGTTGATTGGCTTATTGGTTTGGACCACAGAGACTCTTTTGCCCTCAAGTTGTTTTCCATAACAAATCTGCTCTAACAGTTTTATTGTGAATAACAGCTTAAATATGAATTCATTTTTATTGCTTTAGTAGGTAAATTAATTAAACATTAAATCATGTACGGTAGGTAGTTACTATAGCGGCTTTGTATATTTTATTGTTCTGACGTTATTTTAATTACAAGAAGCGCCCAGTGGATACAACTCTGGAGATGTAGATTGGATTAATAGAAAACTACTTTTCTTTTCACACAAACAGATGAATCTGCAGGGAACAGAAAACATGAAATGGACCTTGCTGTGTCCTTCAGGCTTTCATTGACTCCCAAATGAATATCCTGCGTAGTGAGAAAAGAAGGATGTCCTCCCAATAAAGCAAATCCTGTAAGTACAAAATAATATCTGAGCGACAACAAAACAGAAAACATTTTTTAAAACTTGCTATACACAGTTGAGATTTAATCAAGGTAATTGTTGAGGTTAAAAGAGTCATGTGCTGATAAATCTCAACCTTTGGAAATAACACAAAAATATTTTGTTATTGTGAACAGTCTTGGCTGCCAAAAGAAGCATTTGTACACTCTTTTTTTTAAAATTCGTACATCTTAGTCCTTCCTTCTGGAGGGGGGCTACTTTTATTCCCCATGTTCCCTGTGTGTGTTGTAAAGCAGCCACCGCTCCAAGCTCTCTCCCATGATAATGTTACCACAGGGACCAAGGGGAACAAAAGTAGCCACCCTCCAGAAGGAATGGCGGTGTCATCAAGAATTCAGAGATGATTTGAGAATCTACAGCTGAGTGATACACAACTAGCATCATAATATCCCCCACTACCAGCAACATAATCATATCATCCAGCAGTATAATATTGCCCATGACTAGCTCTATAACAAAACCCCCTGCAAATTATTATCACCCAGAACTAAAATAATTTCTCCAGGCACCATGATCACAAAATCCAAAATAACAATCTCTTAGCATCATAAAAATAACTGCAAGACATAGAAATGATATCCGTCACCAAAAGCATAATATAAATCATAATAATAATAATCATCATCTCTACACTGTATTGCTAAATTATCTCCCAGCACCATAGTAATGTCCCCCACCACCATAACATTATCTTTCAGCAATATATTATCTCCATACCTGGGAACTTTCCAATGTCAGTGAGCCTAAAACTGGGACAAGCAGATGTGCTAATCATGGCATGCAGAGCGCACAGTGCCAATGTAGAACAGTGATTTTAAAGCAATGCATGTAATGTGTGGTGGCTAAATATGGGATACAGTGCTATAGCTTGATAGTGACAAGCATGTAGATGATTAAACTATAATAATATGGTCCTCTAAACAAACAAAGATGATTTAGTCTCACAATTGGCACGATGGGTTAAACTAGTAATACATGGCAAATGTGGAAATACATATGTGTCAAGCACCATATTGTGCAAATGTAGTCATTGGTTGCTACATATAAGCACTCTAGCTCTCATAACCTCCCAACCCTTCACTGCCTACTAAAAGTGGAATACTTCTGGCATTTTAAACAGACATCCAGTGATGTTCCCCTTTTTAAAAATTAATGTTACTTGCTTGCCTACAAAGGCACTCTGCCCCAGCCCTGATAAGAGTCGTACTATCCTGAAATTGATAGCTCTCTCTGTATCTCATGACAGATCATCACCCTGTTTACAGCCCTACCACCTGGTAGTGATGGGCCGAACACCCCCCTGTTCGGTGAAATTTCGAACTTTAGAACATGGGAAAAGTTTGAACTCGAACTCAATGCAAGTCTATGGGGGTTTAAATTTTAAAAATCAAATGTCACCATTTTGAAGCCTTATATGCAATTTATCGGCCATAAAAAGTGTATGGGGATTCGGGTACTGCCCTGGAGGACATGAACCGATGAAAACATTTTAAATACTGTTTTTACATTTACCCTTAAGGTCTGGTAGGAAGTTTAGGACGGACCCCATGTAAAAAAAAACTAAAAAAAAAAGTGTGTGGGGTTCCCCCTCAAAGTCATACCCGGCCCTTAAGATCTGGTAGGAATTTTAGGAGTGACCCCATGTAAAAAAAAAAAAAAAAGTGCGTGGGGTTTTTTTGTGAGTTTTTTTACAATTGCTTTAAAGAAAAACATGCCCCTTAGCCACTGGCTGGACACATCTAAGATATTTGCATTAGAAAGAAAATAATAACTCTTACCAGTTTCTGTAGAAAGTCTGGTTCTGGTACTTCTCTTTTCAAATATCATGGCAAGAGATTTTCCTTGTAGCAGCGGCAGATACTAGAAATAAAAAAGGACTTTGGGGTTTAGCTGTTCCAGAGACAGCAAAGAAGACAAGTTGTAATAATGATTTTATTACAATATAATAAATATTTAAAATTATAAGCTTTTTTTAAAATTATTTAATACCTTTTTATTATTATCACAAATGTACATACAGAGAAGAAAAAGACATCAACATAAGCATAAACAACCTACATACAGGTTTTACTATTCATCATCATCACAACTTATGATAGCACATATTATATATTTCGTTCTTTCATAGATGTATTTATTTAACCCCCCAACTCTCCTCCCCTTCAGTTTTTAGTTGCTTAAAGGAGAACTATGAGGTGAGTGCTTTTCACTCACCTCATAGTTCTAGCCGACCTGTGACAATGAGACTGTCACAGGTCGGCTCAGTAGATCGGGAGGTGAGCGAACACATACCGGGTTCGCTCACCTCTCGATCCTGTCATGGCTCTCTGCCGTGACAGGGGGAGGGGCTGGATTCCCCTCTCCCCGCTCCGATCTGCCAGCGCTGACTGGCGGAACGGACGGGGAGGGGGCGGGTACAGCTGGCTCTGCCTCTAGATAGGCAGAGCCAGCTGTCACTCACGCAGCTGAGCGGATCCCGTCGTCTAAGTCGGGACACGCTCCGGCTGCGGCGTCTCAGTATACCACGAGCTGTAGCTCGCGGTATACTGAGCTTAGGGTAACGGGAGGACGCTAGTTTGTGTCCTCTCGTTACCCTAAGGAGAACTATGGGGAAAAACACTGACCCCATAGTTCTCCTTTAAGACCCCCTAATATCTGGTGTAGGGAAGAGGGAGATGCAATATATTTCATACCTCAAGCACTTCAACGCACTCATCTCATACCAAGACAAACAAAAAGTGTTAACGAAAGATGCATTGCGGCCCCTAATAGATATCAGCACAGAGGACTTATCAGAGGGGACGGTGGTTATTGAAACATTTCTTCATGTCACTCTCTGCAAGAGGGAATGTGAAGTGTGAATTGACAATATTGGAAGATTTGTGTGTAAACAAGGGAGAGGGGACCTATAATATTACCTATACAATATATTACTGAAACAGGCATACCCTAACCGCCCATATTATACTAGAAAGTGGGAACGATAACTGGGAAGTGAGGTCTCGGCAGAGGATTGGAATCGATCTTTTGCTTTAACATTTAGATCCAGTATTGCGAGTCAAGCTCAAGAACGAAACTTTAAAATAATTTCTAGATGGTATAGGTGCCCGACTACTTTGCACAGAATTTATCCAGCTATATCTAAATAATGTTGGAGATCTGGACATGAAGAAGGAAATATTGCTACATATCTGGTGGTCGTGTAATCAGATTAGACCATATTGGGAATCTATAACTAATATAAGTGAGCGGCTCATTGAGATAAATTGGCCAGCAACACCAGAAATAACCCTGCTCTCAATTATTCCAGGAGATATCATGAAGGGTAATAGAGGCCTCTTGCAACATCTTTTAGTAGCAGCTAGAACATTGATACCGCGATGTTGGAAATCACCAGCAATATTGCAGATTAGAGAGTGGGTTTGTGAAGCTAATTTTATTATGAGGATGGAGGAACTCACTTCTGGATGATTAGATTGATAATCTGAATTTTGTGAAATTTGGAGTCCATGGAAAGATCTCTTAACATGCAGAACTTGCAGGAATTTTTATAAGTCCAGGTAAAGAGGGGTAGATATATTATAAATAGGGGAAAAATGTAGGATATTGAGGGAAAAACTATAGAACCAGACTCTGGGTTTTTATGGTGGTATTTTTTGTAAAATGACAAGCTTATTACTTGAATGTGACTATTTGTGTTCACTACTTGCACCCTATCATATAGAGCAGAATCTGTTGTTTCCATAACAATTAAATGTTTACATATCTAGGTCATTATTTCCAACAACCCCCAAAAATCACTGGATGAGTAGATCACTCTTACTCTGACCTCCCCCCTTTGGTTAGTGGGGGCAAATGTGGCCCTGTAAGGAGTACAAGCTCCAATCACAGTTGGTCTCTGGGACACACCAAGTCTCCCAGCTACAACAAGGTAGTTAGTGTATCCATCTGCAAAGATGAATAGAGTTCTTTATTTGTTGAGCGAGATAAAATACCTGATTTCTAGTGGTATGACTGTACATGTAAATTTCATGTTCATTACATTGTATAGTGTTCAGCAGTCTGGAATTTGTAACTCATGGTGCAAAGTGCAGTATTCTGTGGTACATGGTATGCTGTTAAATTGGAGTGGTCAGTGGAAAAGTGCATGGTTACATTGGTGGAAGTCAACAATCTACCATTACATTTACAAACAGTCAGTAGAGAAGCATTCTGTATTATTCTTGATGGTCAATAGAGAAGTGTGCCATTACCTTTACAACAGTGAGTGCAGAAGTCCTCTATTGCAGTATTAGCCAACACATAAATGTGTTGGTAAAGTGGTGGTCTACAGAAAGTGTGTCAGTACTGTGGAGGTCTGTGTAATATTACTAGTAGAAAGGCAGTTTGTTGGAGACATGTCAGTACAGTGGCGGTCTGTGGAAAAGTGTCAGTACAATGGTTGTTTATGGAGAAGTGTGTCAGTACGGTAGTTGTCCGTGGAGACAAGTTGTTTGTTCAGGTCTTGCTTTTTTAATTGTAAAATCCTAATGAGAAGTCATAAAGTTCTAATAGCTACGACACTTGACAGACTCAGTTAATCCACAAAGGTGGCCAGCACTGATAACGAACAAATAACCTTCAATTCACCTTGCCAGTAGCATTTGTTTAAAACATTAACTCATGATTCATAACTTTGGACTTGGGGGTGATACATTAGTAACAACTACATGTATAGATGTCTACATGTCTACTGACTATAGATGTACCAAACAGTCTGGGCTTAAGAGACTCAGAGGCCTAAGGACACACATTGCCCCTTCTGAGGGAGGCATACATCACAGGTAGGTCTGTATCTATACAAAGCTAATTTAATAGCATGCAATTATCTATTGTTTACTAGGCAGTAACATGTGGGTATATAAAAATATGGCTATTTTTGTGAAACTGACAGTTTGGGAGCAGCAGATGAGAAGATTATAAAGTGCGTCAGCCCTCCTGCTTCAAACACCTTGGGCCTTTCTGATTGGGCGGCGGGCTGACTCAGTGACACCCTCTAGAGGGCTCACAAAAAGCTGCTGCACAAGGAAGCAGATGACTCTCATGTACCATCAACAAACAGCTCTTGTTAACATCCATAACAAGAACCTTTGCCAAGCTTTACTTCAAGAGATCCAATCCCAGATTCAACTTTTGTTTAATTGACTGGACTCTGTTGGAAACCATATAATCGAGGACTTTGCTAAGTACTTTTATTCTTATTTCCTTTTTGTTTTACTGTTGTATTATTTGTCTCTTTTATGTAACATCTTTTTTGATTTTTTTTCTGCACCATTTAATTAAAAATTATATTTTTAAATCATTAAGCTTATCTCTATGCTCTAAATAAGAAGGTAAAGTATCAGTATCAGTGTGTCAGTACATTGGTGGTCTGCGGAGAAGTGTTTCAGTACAGTGGCTGTCTGTGGAGGAGTGTGTCATTATTGTGGTTCTCTGTGAAGGAGTGTGTCATTACAGTGGTGGTCTGTAGAGAAGTGTTTCAGTACAGTGGCAGTCTATGGAAAAGCGCGTCAGTACAGTGATGTTTTGCTGAAAAGTGTGTCAGTATAGCAGTGGTTTGTGGAGAAATTTGCTACTACAGTGGCAGTCTATGGAGAAGTTAATTTGTACAATGGAAGTATGTGGCAAAGTCCACAGAGTTCAGTGAAGTAATGCTCAGTGGAAAAACATGTGTTGGTGCAGTGGTGTATAGAGGGGGAGAAAGTGCAGCAATAAAGGGTAACTAGTATGCGTATTCTGGGATGCTTTCAGCGCCACATTTTGTACACCCCCTTGTAATTATATATCTTATCTATATAAGTTCATATAATTATAATTGGGACATGTAATCCCAAAGCAGAGTTACATGTCTCAGGATTTATACTAGAACTTATATTTTCACAAAGACTAAAGAGTAGTCAGAGTAGTATATCATAGCAGGCCAGGGTACAGAAAAGCCCCTCATTCCTATAATAAGACCTCTGTGCAGAGCAGAACATTGTGGTGATAAAAGTCATTAGTCGTCAGCTAGTTAGAACCGAACACGGGGGTGTTCGGCTCATCCCTAGTCAGCACTGAGGTTTAACTCAAGGAAATTTGTAGCTAAAGGCCTCCGGCACGTCATTGATTGGGAGTAGGGTGCTGCTCAGCTTTGCCCATCTGTGGCATTTATTACCTATGGCTCCTGCTTTTCAAAATGGTATGATTAAGGGGAAAGGGGGAGTATTTGTATCCTAGACCCAAGGTAAGCTCCCAGCAAATTACCATCCCCTAATGGGTCAGTAGTTTGCAATTACTGGCCTACAGCTGCTGAATTACTGTTCTGGGTGGTGGCCCTAGTGCTAACAGGAGGAAAAAGCTGAATTATTAACTTATCAGTGTGTTGCTTAACTCTCACCACTAACAAAGAATATGGTGTCACCCTGCTAGCTGTGCTCTCTGGCAGAGATTATTATTATTATTATAATACAGGATTTATATAGTGCCAACAGTTTGCGCAACGCTTTACAACATAAGGAAGACATTACAATCACAATACAATAAAAGACAAGATGGTAAGGAGGGCCCTGCTCGTGAGGGCTTACAATCTAAAAATGTATGAATGTATCAATGACAAAAGCGGCTGGACAGAATTACAAATCCTTTGGCAGCCAAGCCAGTTTATATGTTGGTTAGCTGTGTTTTCAGCAGTTTGGCTAAAGTTCAGATGGTCTCACTTCATTAAAGTGAAAGTAATTTTTTGGACTGGGTTGGTGCATTTTATTTTAGCACACAAAATTCTGTAACGATTCACCTACTTTTGTGTTACATTAAACCGGCTTGATGCTCTGTTCAGCCATCCTTATTAGACATCTGTCGCTGTGTTCATTATCAGCTCCCCGCTATTGTGAATGGAAGTTTTTACTGTATATTCACAAAAAGTCTGAGCTACGGTACGCTTGTTGGCTACTGGGAAGCAAACTCAGTTCTGGTTTGTGCTGTAGGCATATAAAAAACCACTGCTGATCAAAATGGTCAACAGAAGTTCTTTTGACTCTGGCAATATTTTATTATAATGGATGCGACATGGATTTGATATCCACTCACATAGGGGCCCATTTATAAAGCAGTTAAGCTGACATTTTCCAAAGATTCATTACAGGTGAATCATCCTTGTGCACGGGTTTTAAATTATTGATTGCTTCACCACCAGTATGTTAGAGGAAGACCAGCACAGCTAACACAGATATTCATGTGATACCTTGAGCTCACTGTGTTATAAGGAGCTAATGTACTTGAAAGCTGTTTAAAACATGAACAGATATTGAAGGAAGATAGTGGACAGCAGACACTGGGATATTTATGACAAACTAAATCAGAAAAAAACTGATTCTGGCTCTTTCAGCTCTAGGAGCCAGATACAATGACTACATAATTTTTCACTTATTAGATTTTCATCATCAATTATAATGTTGCCTTCTGTAATGAAAACCATGAGCAGGTTCAGACAAAAGAGTTCTAATCTTAAAATGTTTCATAGAAAATATATTTAATATATATTAAAGCTTTCCTTGGTGACCGTGCCATGGCTTAGTGGTGACAGTACCATGGTAATGGTAATATTCTAATATATTTTCTTACCTCTCCCTTTTCTTTAATCCTGTATTTCAGATCAGCTGCAACCCAGAGAAGATACTTGATGTCTTCAGCACTGTAGTTTTTAAGGGTTAACAGATCACGTCCTTTCAACTGTGAATGAGTTTGGGAAGACCTGTGAATAAAAAGTATTTTTATTGGAAACATAGAATTTTTATGATTGATGACTTAACCTGCCAGTGTTCAATCTTAACTCCAGAACACCCCATGAAAATACCCTAGTGCCCAGTACATTATGACACCAACCTAGGTAGTATAGCTACTAACATTCCATGCAAGAGAGGAACAACACCAATGGCTATGTTCATGTAATTGGGGGGGG